GTAATCCCAGCACTTTGGGAGGCTGAGACGGGCGGATCACGAGGTCAGGAGATCGAGAACATCCCGGCTAACACAGTGAAACCCTGTCTCTACTAAAAATATAAAAAAATTAGCTGGGTGTGGTGGCGGGCGCCTGTAGTCCCAGCTACTCGGGAGGCTGAGGCAGGAGAATGGTGTGAACCCGGGAGGCGGAGCTTGCAGTGAGCTGAGATCAAGCCACTGCACTCCAGCCTGGGTGACAGAGTGAGACTCCGTCTCAAAAAAAAAAAAAAAAAAAAAAAAAACAGAGACGAAGAAGACTCTAAAGAGAACTGAGAACTGAGGTGGGGTTGAGGGAGGGGGCTGTATAAACAGGAGTTTAGTTTTGAACATGGAAAGTTTAAGAAACTGGATAAGGTTACGTGGGATTTTCAAATAGAAAGACTAGGGAGGGGTATGGGCTAGGGATCAGTTGGTGACTCCTAAATTTACACCAGGTATTTAAAACTTACACAAACTAGTGTAATTGTAAAGAGTTTCTTGGGTTTTTCTTCCTCAAATATAATTGGAAAACGCTGACTTCAAAATGAGATTCAAGTTTTCCTTGTTACTACACATCTCAGAACTATTTTACATAAATAATAAAGTCTCCAAGGTAGAGACCACGGACCACTTAGATTAACAGCATTTATAAAACTACTGTTCCATAGAACACTGTTTTGGAAATACTGAACTTGTTATATCACTGCCTGAAAAATAACCTAGATTAATTATTGCAAACCATCAAGCCTTCAAAGCTCATGAAACTTTCAAAATTGTACAAAATCGATTGGCTAGTTGTTTCACATTTTCTAAGTAGTTTTGTATGCATATAAAAGAGCTGAGCAATTTTTAGGTTGAAAGCTTTGTCCCAAGAGCAAGGTAATAGTTTTCTTTTTAAAAATTTACCCCCAAAATTATCTGTGCATTGGAATCACCTCTGGAGCTTCAAAAACTACTAATGCCTGTGTTTCCCTTCTAACATTGTGGTTTTATTGGTGTGGGTTGTGGTAAGGTCTTAGAGATTTTAAAATATGCCCAGGTGATTCTAATATGCCAACATTTCAGGACCCGCTGCTGCTAAAATGAGTCTTTTTGACTTATTCTCTGCCTCTTATCTATTATATAATATTTTAAAACCATTTCTTCCTGTTTTTAATTAAGAAACATTATTTGGATTATTTGAACAGGTCATTTATTCATCTAATCTTTATTGAGGGCCTACTAACTGCCTAATATTTGTTACCTTATTGTAATAGCGTGGTGATATCACTAATTTTCAGTACAAATGAATAATATCATAGAAATCTACTTTTAGAAGGCAAGTAGATACTTACATAACTAAATTATTAATAAAATACCAAAACTGAATTACTAGTAACATCATTAGTTGGTATAATCTCTAAAACCATCTAAGCCTTTAACTGAGATGTAAAATGTTGTTAGCCACTCAATCTATGTTAGAAGTAACTAGTGCCATATATAATTCCTAGACATTAGTCTTGTATTGTAGCAATATTCATATGGAGTATGCCCTTCAAGAGTCACAAAACTTCCATGTGGGCACTAACATGTCTTCAAGAAATGTATGACTCTATTATAATCAATGAAATCCACAAATATTTATTGAGCACATGCCAGGCACTGTTCAAGGCAGTGGAGATATACTAGTAATACAAGAAATTCCTACTCTTATAAAACTTCAATTGTATTAGAGGGAGACTGGTGATAACAAGAGATAGACTAGATAGATAGATAGATAGATAGATAGATAGATAGATAGATAGATAAAATGGTTTCAGAAACTGATACATGATCTTAAAAAAAATAGGATGAGGAGTTAAGGAATGCTAGAAGGGACGGTGGGGAGGGGCAGGGGTTGATAATGTGGTTGGAAACTTAGAGGAGGTGAACTTTGAACCATCTAAGTGAAGGGAGGGAGGAAGCCAAGAATAGGTTGTAGGAACACCCAGAGCAAAGGTTGGAAAGGGAGAAAATGTTTGATACATTTGAGAAGCAACAGAATGCTGGTATGACCGAATGAAATATGAAGAGAGAGCGGTAGATGAGATCAGAGAGACAGGCAAGAGCCAGATAATAAGTGCGGTGCCCCATAGGCCATAGTAAGGGTGTTTTTGTTGTTGTTTTCTTGTTTTGTTTTCCTCTAAGTATTCTCAAAAGCCTTTGGAGGCCTTGCCTGGGAAGCGACATGACCTAATTTACGTTTATAGAGAGAATGCTTGGCTGCTCCATGAAGAGTAAATTCATATATTCAAGGCAAGGTGATAGCAGGAAGACAGTGGGAAGGCTATAGCTGTGATGCAGGCAAGAGCTGACAATAGAGCAGAGAGGCAGCTGGTAAGATGGAGAAAGTTCTCATGCAAAAGACATGTTGATGCTGTCATGAAAAAGGATTTGCTGATAAAGTTTTCCTTTTGGGACACCTAACAAACACCAACCGATAATCAAAAAGTTACAGTCAGAAAAGTTGCAGAATTCTGGGTTAAAGCAATAATTATAGATCTTTATATAAAAAAGTTGTTTCCTATGTAACAGAGAAACCTTTCTTTATAAAGCCACTTTCATTTTTATGGAAAAAGATGGTTTGTAGTAACTTTGGAAACCCAAATTATCCTGTTTTTCCTTTAGGCTCAGGCCTTGTCTTAAAATCTCAAGGAGTCAGAATCACTGAAATGATAGCCTTCAGTAAAACTACCTGTGCGAAATTGTGATAGGCATAGCAATTTAAAGTTAATGCTGTGATGAATAATTTCACCAGAAGTTATGTTTGAAACAGTGAGAATTCTTCTGTTGCTATTGGCTACTTGCCAATACTTAGATATAGTGATATCTAGATCAGGGATTTTTCCATTTGCAGGGATTGGGGTGAGAGAGTTCATTCTTCTCACCATCATATTCTGTTGTCTTGCCCCATCTCCCCCACCTATTTAAACCTGCTTCACCCCACACATCTCTTACATCATTATAGTATCTAATGTAGACGTGTGTTAGGTTGGGAGAGGTAGTTTAAGTTGTACTTTCATCTTTATATTAGATGTTATAGATGCACATAGTCATTAAGAACATAGATTTTGGAGCTACAGAGCATTGAGTTTGAATTCTGCTCACTGAACATAAATTGAGTGATTTGGGGCAAAATATTTAATCTTTCTGAGCCTCTTTGTAAAATATAATGATTTCTAACCTCAAGCGAAGTTAACTAAGATTATAAATGTAATGCAGTTAGTAAAATGCCAGAATATAGTAAATAGTCTCTTCATTTTTCCCTGTACTTAATTATTCAGTAGTTTTAATATTTTCTTAATATAGTATTTTAAGAGCAAAGGTACTCAAGCCAGACTGCCTGGATTTAAATTACAACTTTACCATGTGGAAGCTGGGTGATCTTGGACATATTTTTGAACTTCTCTCTTAGTTTGTTTCCTTTTCCATGAATTGTTTAAACTAATAATACTAACTCTATTAGTTAGTACTGAGGATTAAAAAGCACAAGGTATATAAAAAATATATTAAGACACAGGACTATTTTTTAAGTCAAATACTATAAGCAATAGTCTCTCAATACTTTATTTCAAATTTATAGTTAAAAACTAAAGGATTGGCTGGGTGCGGTAGCTCACGCCTGTAATCCCAGCACTTTGGGAGGCCGAGACGGGCGGATCATGAGGTCAGGAGATCAAGACCATCCTGGCTAACATGGTGAAACCCTGTCTCTACTGAAAATACAAAAAATTAGCAGGGCGAGGTGGCGGGCTCCTCTAGTCCCAGCTACTCGGGAGGCTGAGGCAGGAGAATGACATGAACCCGGGAGGCAGAGCTTGCAGTGAGTGGAGATTGTGCCAGTGCACTCCAGCCTGGGCGACAGAGAGAGACTCCGTCTCAAAAAAAAAAAAAAACTAAAGGATTATATCTAGCTTTTCTATTTTTATTGTATAATTCAAGTAAATTTGCATAATCTGAACCAGGGAATTGTTTACAATGAGTAGTTGATTTACTCTATCAGTCATAAATGAAGAAGTTTAGATATTATCTTCTTAATTGATCCCGTTAAGTAAGCATATTGGTTTCTTTAAGACACCAAAATTAAATTTAATTATTTAGTTCACCCCTCTGAGAAATATCAAAATGACCAGATAATTGTGAAGTCTCCTATTTTTTTGAGTTGAGTGTTCACTGTTTTTCCTGGCATTTTTTTTCCCCTTTTTTTTTTCTTTACTTTCTTTTGATATTATTTTGAAATCTATTTCTCTTTCAGTTCCTGACTGATTTAAAAAAAAAAAAAAAAAAAACCTTAGTACTAGCAATAAGTAAAAGCTACTCTTAAAAGTTGAATAGTTCAATTTTTATTTTTATTTATTTATTTATTCTTTTTTTTTTTTTTTTTTTTTGACACAGGGTCTCACTGTCACCCAGGCTGGAGTGCAGTGGTACAATCTTAGCTCACTGCAACTTCTGCCTCCCGGGTTCAAGCATTTCTCCTGCCTCAACCCCCCCAGTAGCTGGGATTACAGGTGTGCGCCACCACACCTGGCTAATTTTTGTATTTTTTTGCTAGAGACAGGGTTTCACTATGTTGGCCAGGCTAGTCTTGAACTCCTGGCCTCAAGTGATTCGCCCACCTCGGGCTCCCAGAGTGCTGAGATTACAGGCGTGTGCCACTATGCCTGGCCCTAGTTCAGTTTTTAAATGGAGCATGCAGAGATTTTTTAGTGCTTGATAATATTCTCAATTATTTCATATGGCAGTATTCCCCATACTGTTCCCAAATTGGTACTCTTTCGAAAATAAATGATTTTTTTCTAGACAAAAGCTTTGGTGCTGATAGTGTAAAAGTGATTTTTTGTTGCATATTAATTTATGCAGGTAATATCACTGTTGTTGGTATTAATCTATTAATAACACAAAGCTCATTATATAAACTTTACCTTGTTATGTTAAAGAAGCTTTCTTTCATTTTATAGCTGGCTTAAGTCCTGCTGAGATTCAGCAGTTATGGAAAGAAGTGACTGGAGTTCACAGTATGGAAGACAATGGCATTAAACATGGAGGGCTAGACCTCACTACTAACAATTCCTCCTCGACTACCTCCTCCACCACTTCCAAAGCATCACCACCAATAACTCATCATTCCATAGTGAATGGACAGTCTTCAGTTCTAAATGCAAGACGAGACAGGTAAATCTCATGAGCTTTATTCTATATTTGTCTATCATCAAATTTTATTTTCACCATTGAGACAATGGAAAAGAACAATTTGTACTTGAAACAAGGACAAAATGTATAGAACAACAGGTTAGAAATCTTTAGATTATTTATCTTATTATAGTCTTTATATTACAGAAAAGCAGTTCAAATACCGAAAGTTTGATGGATATAGTTGGGGAGTTTGCCTGAAGACATTTATTTTTTCATGAGTGCATGTGGAATGATTGTATCAATATATTTTTATGACTAAGATGTTATGATTAACCTGATTGCTGAGAACATTTTTCCAGCTAAAAATCAGTTCTTTAATTTCAAATAATTAAAGATGCATGGATATCTCTCATATGTTTCAAACATATGAATTAGAAATCAGAGAACAGATAAATATATAGACACAAGCGTACTAAGCTAGATGGTGGAAATTCTGGTTTGCCTTTTTAATTGTGGCATGATGAAATATCTAAACACATAAAGATAAACTTGTGTTGGTGATTTTATGATTAAATTCAACTAAAATTTCAAAGAAAAAATATTTTATTTCAGTTATTAATATTAAATGTGTTATGTTAGATAATTTTTTACTTACTGTTTTATTTTAGTTGTATAAAAATTGCATTTGGAAAAGGAGCATTCATGTACATTTGTCCTTTAGTTCCATTTATTTAGGCATAGTGCTCTCTAATCAAGTCCTTTAAAGTAATTTGCATATAGTTCATAAGCTAAAATGTTGCTCAGTGTGAAAAATCTGTTTTTAAAAGATGGAATGTAAATGTATAATTCTTAACATAATGGCTTAGGCTTATATATAAAGCTCCAAACTTCATATGTAAGTGTAGTGGATTGATAGTGTTCTGTTATGCAATATGAATATCTGCTTTGCCTTAACAAATTCTTTGTCATAAACAAATGTTTTTCAAATAAACATATATTGAATTATACTACCATTTAAAATAAAATTCTATAATTCAGTGATGTTTCTGGCCTTCATTTGAGTATCAAGGAAAATTTTTCTTGTTTGTTTTTATTAGTATAAAGTGGTATGCTCCTGAATGCTTTCATGCTGTTGTTTTAATTGAGATTAATTTGATGATTATGCATTCCAAAAGTTGGTTGATTTCTCTGGGTTCTCTCTATCTAATATTCACTTATCAAAAGTCTTCAATAAGTATATAAAGATATAGCTAATGAATACTGTTCCAAAGTAGATTTTCTAAATCAAGTGTAACTAGTAGAAATATATGTGGTTTATACATAAATGTTAAACAATTTAAATAATCCTAGAGGTCCATATCTTCTTTAAAAAGAGCACTTCAAAATCTTATAATGACTGTCCTATTATTTTCTTAAAAATGAAGGGTTTTTTTTCACTTGACCACATATGAATATATATTTTTTATTTAGAGATAAAATGTTACATTAAGGTCATATGGCAGGATTAGCATATGATATTATACAGTCCTCTTAGTTTTTCATCCTTTATTAACAGTCATCTTTGGCTCTATTTCTCCTCTAATTGGAACATCATCTAGCCTTGGCAGTTGAACTATTCAATAGAACGATTAAATTTTTCTGACTGCTCTGAGCTGAATTGACCTGTTTTGACCTGTTTGTCACTGATCGTAACCTGACAGGCGCTAGCAGCCTGCAACGATTATAGCTTTTTGAGATGAATCTGACGTCGTGTTCTTTTGCTACAGCTCGTCACATGAGGAGACTGGGGCCTCTCACACTCTCTATGGCCATGGAGTTTGCAAATGGCCAGGCTGTGAAAGCATTTGTGAAGATTTTGGACAGTTTTTAAAGTAGGTTTTTTACTTTTTTTTTTTTTTGGCGTGGGGTGCTGGATTATATGGGAGTTTTAGGCACATTGTAAATAAACAAAAGATGAAGGAGAAAAGTAAAAGTCCATTATAAGACACACTATAAGATTTTTGTGGGTTCCAACAAGTGGATTTAGCAAGGTCTGGCTAAATCTTTTCATTAAGGTATTTTACAGATTATTTAGTAAAGGTTTTTGAATGAATGAAAAATATTAGCCTACAATAATATGTGATTAATCATTGGAGAACTTTGTAACAGAACTGTTTGTAAAATAGAATTCTCTTAAGTTTTAAGTTTCTAATTAATATTATGTGAGTCATCATAATATATATATATTTCAGTAAACATATTTTGAAGGCTTGTTTTTTAATTACAGGCTTTACATATTTTTTAAAATAGTATTTAGTATATACATTTAACTACAAGAATTAAAAATGAAAGTTTATACTGGCTAAACTTTAAAGAAATAACTACATTTCATTTACATTGTTACTTTTTGCCCTTAGAAACATCAAGAAACACACATGGCTATATCTTTGTATAACAGATTACATGGCTTCTCTAGCTTAAAACCAACACTTTGTGTATTCTTAATTTGTAATAGAGTATTTTATTTAAAAAAAAAATCTTAAGGAGTTCTTTTTCAAGTGAAAAGATTCATCTTTCATGAAATGTTTTCCTTACACAATTCTGGTATACAAGAGATCTAAACAGAGAGCTACAGATAGGCTTATGGAGATGAGTAACTTCACAGGCTGAGACTCTTATGTTGTCATGGTGCAGCTAACAGGGTGAGTGAACTGTTTCATGCTTCATCAACAATTAAGTTAATTAGCTCATTTGAAATTGCACTGCTTTGTTGCCAGGATGTTGGCAGAAACATCAAAAAGATGTGTTTACAAATGGAAGACTGACTACAGGGTATAGAGCAAAAGCACCTTAACAACCAGGCACAAGTACTTGGCATCACAATAACTTTTTAAATGAATTACAGTAAGACTTCCACAAAGATTTTTTTAACCTTTTATCATTTCTAATTAATTAAGAAAAAATTTGCTTCATATACCACTATGGCTCTTTGTAAATGGCCTTAAATGAAAATTTACACTTTTCTTTTATCAAAACAGTTGTGAGCTGCCGTTTATTTGGGTATGAAACTGATTATAAGCAAAGAGACCATTAAAAAATGTTAGGTAACTTTGCTGAAGTTTTCTTCTCTAAAATAATAATAATAATAATAAAGTTAAAGCAAAGAAAGAACATAGAGATGTTGTTTTAACAGATGATTTTCCATTTCCTCATGTGAGTACATTTGTCCTTATCAATATATTATTCCTTGTCATTGAAATTAGGTAAAGGGCTATTGTTACTGTTTTTTTTAAGAATGGTAAATTGTGCCATAGGACTAACCCAGTCACCATGCATTATATTGCTCCAAATTGTTCTTTCTGACAAAATTCAAAATAAATCTTTAGGGAAAAAATAGTACTTTCCTTCAGTATGATTTTGTTTATAGCAAATTGAAAGGAGCATTTAATTTTTCTCAAATATTTATGTGTTTATTACTAACAATCAGATGAATATGTACCCTCATTTTACCTTAGTCTTCTTTCATATTCATGCCAGTGTTAAAAAAAAAAAAAAAAAAAACCAAAAACAAAGAAATTACAATTAAAAAAGCATTTCCTTTCAATTAAATACCAACTTTGGTTCCAAAGACTGACCATTTTTCCAACCCATTAACTTTATAGGGATGACAGAACTAATGACAGGAGGTTTTAAGGCCTTTTTTAGTCCATTTTTTGTTTTCATATGCTTTAGATTCACTAAGTCAAAGATCTGTGATAAATTCTGTTAATAGAGCTAATGTAAGTATACTGAACCGAAGTGAAATATCGATTAAATATACTTTCCATAGAGGCATTGTCTTCTTTAAAATGTGTTAGAAATTTGAAAAGAAAGAAAATAATATCACTAAATGAATTAACTTCAGTTATTCAAAAAAAGTTTACTTAGCATCTGTGTGGGAAGTGAAAATGAAGAAGGAAAGCATCACCAGTTACACAGATTTTCTCAGATGACTTTGTTTTCCTTTGTAATAATGGAGAAAACTGAGGATTTGAAGAGGCAAATGATAGGTA